CTATTTTTGGTTTATTTTCTGGCTTGGTGGCCTTGAAGACTGATCTCTACACAACATAGTACTTGGGCTGTTTTGTCCTCTGGCTTCCAGCTAAGTCTCACAAACTGAGAGATCAGCACAAAACGTATGAGACAAGGGTGTTACTGCCCCCTTGCACCCTCAGTTAGAGAAGTGGCTGAGTTCTTCTCAGTCCTTTCCAGCCATTTCAGCTCCTTGAGGAAACCAACAACGTCATTTCCTACTCTTTTCCCATTCTCTCTGTGGTGTCTCAGATTTAGGAGAATTAACTCGTTTCAGAGTTGCTAGTCACTGGGTACTTTCCCATTCCTCACTGTCTATGGTTGCAGGACACACACTCCCAGCCAGAATCAGTCTCTTTATTGAAATATGATCCATTAAGCTCCTTTGGCTTACTCACTATTTCCTTACTTCCAGAACACAGTGGTCTAGTGCCTCAGCTGGAGAACTTCCTCTCTGTCCCGCGTAGAGCAATCCTCTCCCTTGCTGGGACTTAGTTCACCTGATGCTGCCGCTGCCCTGAATGCATGGGTGGCCTATGAGCATCTATCAAGATAGAATTGTGCATCTGTAAATTGCTTCTTGATCTGTACCGTGCTACATTGTGAGTTACTCAAAGACAGAGCATTTTCACCCCTTCATATTTTCAGAGCCCATCACAGTGCCTGGAGCACAGAGTTTTTGATAAATTCTGATTAAGTAAACACATAAAATGATAATTAATATAAGGGAAGGCTTTGCACAGAGGGAGGGTAGTGGGCAATCATTTGAGGCATCTTTGGCCTTTCATATAAAATAAAGATTAAGAAATATCTAAATTGATGATTACTTAGTAGTCATTTTCTTTTCTGTGGCAGCAATATCTACTTGAGTATAGTTTTGTTGTTCAGAGTTGTATTTAAGTGAAAAGAACGGAGAGGAACCAGACTAACTACTCCTTGACAAATATCCAAATTAAAAAGACTTCTCTCCATGGAGCTTTTCCAAAGAACAAGCAGGGAATGGCTTGTTTTCTTCACTTGGCATCTCCAGCTTTCCCCAGGGTGGAGTCACCGGGCTGATGAACAGCAAGAGGCCCTGGAAACCACTTGTTCACGTTCGCTGGTCTGGGAGCCACTTCTGCTACTCCCCTTAGGAAACTCTTTATTCAGGTGCATCTGTGTCCGTCCTTAATCTGTGTTCCTGTTGTACTGATACAATAAAATCAGAATTGAGTTCGTGCAGCCAGTTTTATGAAATAAATAAATCTAAGATTCAGGGGCTCAAATCATGAATACAATGTAAATTCTGTTCTCTTTAATTTATAATTTTACCTGTTTCTTTTCGGTTATGATTTACGCAGCTATGGGCGTTTGATCACAGACAATTGTCTATTTGAATGGATCTCCATCTTTCTCTCCTATGCTCTCTCTCCACTTCTCCCCTTTCCTCTCCCTCCCTTCCTCTCTCCCCTACCTCCCTCCTCCCAATTCAGTGTCTAGGATTCCCCTTTCTGAATTATAGACCAATCACATCTATTTATTATTAATAATTTATCACTAGCCCTTAACAATTCAGCAGGTGATAGATAACCTGGCCCACAGAAGCTCTAGACCAAAGACTGGCAAACTCATCTTCTGCAAAGGTTTACCTAGTAAATATGTGGGGCTTCATGACCAATATAGTATCATTTGTAACTATTCAGCTCTATTTTAATAGTAGAAAATAATAAATAGATGTGATTGATCTATAATCAAACATGGATCTTTGTGTTTGTGTGGCAAGCACTTTGATTCCTGAACTATCACTCCAGCCCTAAATTCTTTATTTATGAACCTTACATTTTTTTTAAAGACAAGTTCTCTCTAGTATGCCGCTCTAGTTGTTCTAGAACGCACTGTGTAGATCAGGCTGGCCTTGAACTCACAGAGATCCTCTTGCCTTCCGAGTGCTGGGATTAAAGGCACGTGCTCCCATGTCTTGTCCATTATATTTTATTGTTATCACGGCCTCATGGCCTAGTTTACTGTAGGGTACATGAACTTGGAAGATGTGTATCCATGAATTTTTCTTTATTCATGTATTTATAGCAATAAACAATGAGATAAAGCAAAGTATTTTAAACTTTTATTTTATTTTCCTTTAGTTTTTAGAGTCTGATGTAGCTCAGGCTGGCCTCAGACTCCCTAAATGACCTCAAACTCTCTAGGACAAGCTTGAACTTCTCATCCCCCTCCTCCACTCCCAAGTGCTGGGATTACAGGTGTGTGCTACCATGTCTTGTATATGTAAAGCTAGAGACCCAATCTAGGGCTTCATGCTAGGCAAACTGCCAACCAAACTAAATCTCCATACCTTATATTTGGCCTTATCTCTTTCTCAGGAAGGTGTTTGTTTGTTTTTTAGAGGGTTGTCTGCTTGTTTTCATTTTAGGCGTTTCAAGTGCTCATCAGTTAGATTTGAAGAATCAAACACTGAAGTTCTATAAAGAGGTGTTTGTATGTCTTGTATTCTTTGTGTTTCCAGACCTATGCATCTATAGCTTAAAATCTTTCCTTCTATCTTATAAGGTTCTTCCAGGCGGGAGAGATGTTTTTAATAGGTTGCACACAAACACACACACACACACACACACACACACACACACACTAAAAATAAAAAAAAAATATATTTTTTAAAAGATAAAAACCTAACTTTGCAAAACTGTAAAGCAAGCATGTAGAAAAATTTACTGAATTCATTAATGAGGTAACAGAAGGCTCTAACGCAGAGATTATGCTAGGTTTCATGTCAACTTGACACACACTAGGATCATCTGGGAAAAGGGAAACTCAACTGAGAAAATGCGGCTATCAGATTGGCATCTGGGTAGGTGGTTCTGAGGTATATACAAGAAAGCAGACTGAGCAAGGCAGGAAGAGCAAGCCAGTCAGCAACACTCTGCTGGGGTCTCCGCTTCAGTTCCTGCCTCCAGGTTTCTGCCTTGAGTCCCTGCCCTGACTTCCCTCACTGAAGGAGCGTGACCTGAGAGCTGCAAACCGAAATAAACCCATGTGACTTTTGGGTACGGTGTTTTAGCACAGCAATCGAAACCCCGAGACAGGCAGTGAAAGAAGGCTGATTGCTGCACGAATTCTAATTGTTCTTAATAATGAAAACTTGAGTCAGCTCTCAGGGGTGAAAGTTGGACAGAGAAGCAGTGGAGTTGGCCACTAGGAAGGCCTTGTACCTCCTCCGAATCCTCAGACCGAAGGGGCGATCCTGTCTCCACCAACCCTCATACTGCCTGCTGCATGCTGCACCCTCAGACTGCATCCTCACTCAGACAGGCTGCTGCTCAGGCTGCGGCCTCAGACTGCATCTGAGCTCCTGTCTCCTCCCACCTTGTATTCCTCTCTGCCCAGCCATATCACGCCTCTCTCCACACCCAAGTGCTGGGAATTAACGGTGCGAGCCAACACCGCCCAGCTGTTTCTCTTTTAGACTGGATCAATTTCGTGCAGCGCGTGGTAGCCTTGAACTCACAGAGATCCATCAGCCTCTGTCTCCTGAGTGCTGGCATTAAAAGTGTGTATCACCACCACCCAACCTCTATGGCTAACTAGCAGTTTAGCTCTGCACTGATTTTTAGGCAAGCTTTATTTGTTAGATTACAAACAAAATATCACAGCTGACACGAATGGCTGCATTACACAGATTTTTTTTTTAATGATTGCGGTCGTCTGGAACAACTCAGTCGGAAGCACCGAACTTTGATTTTCTTCTATACAGCAATCATGCTTTTCTTCTTGCTTTCAACCCATTTACATCGCTGTCAGTATTTCCAACCTTGACACCCTCCCTGGCAGGACGTTTAAAGTCTTATCAACAGTAAAATTAAGCCATAATTATTGTTAATGCTATTAGAGGATTAAAACTTATTTATTAGGTCAGAAAAATGAAAAGATATTTTCTTCCTGATTTCTAAAACCAGGAACAAGCTGGGAGGTGGTATTGCATGCCTTTAATCCCAGCAGTCGGGAGGCAGAGGCAGGAGGATCTCTGTGAGTTTGAGGTAGCCTGGATTACAGAGCAAGTTCTAGGACAGGCTCCAAAGCTACAGAGAAACCCTGTCTTAAAAAAGCATAAATAAAATAAATAAATAAAACCAGAAACGATTGATATCTCGCTCATTGTTTGATTAATATTATATGATGTCAAGGCTAGAGAGGTGGCTCAGAGGTTAAGAGCATTGACTACCCTTGCAGAGGTCATGAGTTCAATTCCCAGCACATGGTGGCTCACAACCATCTGTAAAGAGATCTGGTGCCCTCTTCTGGCCTGCAGGCAAACATGCAGACAGAACACTGTATACATAATAAACAAAATAAAATAAAAAATTATATGATGCCAAGCCAAGTTACATTAAGTTACTTTGAGTCTATGTTTATTTGTATTTGGACACAGTATATATTCAACAGATAATTATGAAATGAATCTAAAATCCTTTATTTATTTATTTGGAGACAGGGTCTTACTATGTAGATCTACTGGCCTTCTACTTGCTATATAGGTGGAACTGGCTTTGGAATGCACTGAGATATGCCTGCCTCTGTTTTGAGAGTATTGGGATTAAAGGTGTGCGCTCAGCAAAGAATGAAATTGGTTTAAATCAGAACGTATTTGTCTATCCTGGTCCACATAACTAACAGGCCGTCTTACTTGCTTCTGCTCATGAAGGTATATGGAGTAATGAATGAATGGACCGCGGAATCAAACCAACATAGTTCGTGGTTTAGCTCTTTCTCCTTGTGTCTTGGCATCACCCCGTTTAAAAAGGCTCTTTAAGCCTCAGTCAATGTGATAAAGCGGTTACTGCATCATGCTAAATTGCAGGGAAGCGCTAATTCTTTAAAGCGCAATTATCGTGACGTCACTGCAGAGCTGAAAGCGGTTGCTGCGTCGTGTTAAACTTTGGGGGAGCACTAACTGACCTGGGTTCACCGTCTCTCTGTACGACACAGGTGGTGAAGTTTACCAAATCCTTTGAACTGATGTCCCCAAAGTGCAGCGCCGATGCTGAGAACAGGTAAGGCCCCTGGGCTTCATGCTTGTGTTCTGACGCGCTGTGGTCCTTGGCGTTTGCGGAACTGCATGATTCTCTGTGGACAGGAGTTGCCCTTTCTCTGCGTCATCAAGTGCAGCCATTTATCACTCTGTGGAATGTCAGAATTTAAATAAAAGCTATTGCTGAATAGTGAGTGTATAAAGAGTACATCTCCTTCGTTGTGTGCTTTTAAGACAAACTTAAGACTAGGGATGGTGGTACTAGCCCCTTAGCCTAGCTGCTTGGGAGGCTGAGTCAGGAAAACCCCAGATCCAAGACACACCATGGCTGCAGAGGTGGAGCAAGGTCAGCCTGGGAAACTCAGTGATTCCTGTCTCAAAAAAAATCCTGAGACGAGGGCTGAGGGTCTAGTTCAGTAATAAAGCACTTGCTGGAGAGTGCATGGAGTCTCTGGGTTCACTGTTAGTACCGAGAGAGAGAGAGAGAGAGAGAGAGAGAGAGGAAAAACTGAAATGTAATACTTGTGATATGGTTATAATCTTGCCTGTGGACTTTATAGTACCCCTCTCTCCTGAAGGAGATTGGATTTTTTAAAATATGTATTAATGCCTTGAATCTTGGATAACAGCTACTGTGTTAGTTACTTCTCACAACACCAGACAAAAGCAACTGTAAAAGGAAGGAAGAGTTTGTTCTTGCTTATGGTTTGAGTGTAAATCTGTAAGGACGGGAGAGTCGTGGTGGCAGATGCAGGAGGCAGCTGGTCACATCCCATTCAGTCAGGAAGCAGAGTCATGAATGGGCTTACTCACCTCAGTTCCAGGGATCTGGCACCCTCTTATATGTACCTTGTGACTAGGTGTGTACGCAATATACATACATACATACATACATACATGTAAGCTATTCACTCATTTTCAGAAAATAAAAACTAAATTTTTAAAAGAAGAAAGAATGATGTATTGTTGAGAAGTGACAAAGGAGCTGTTGACCACAGGGCCATCAGTTATAGGAAGGAAAGCACACGGAGTCAAGAAAGCTTGTGACGTGAATTCCTCTGGCCCATCTCCTGGCCCATAATGGTTTCATGTTGTCTAACAGGTCAACTTTTGTCCTTCTTCCTAATGACAGGAGGGAAGATACCCTTGTAAATGTATGCCCTACTTTATGACAGAGAGCTTTTCTTGGATCCGCTTCTCAATTTTTTTTTTCAGCACAAAATAATCCTATGGTACACAGCACATTTTTGTGTGACACATTATTGTCTCCTATAACAACCAGCTCATTTACGGAAAATGGGAGGTAGATCTCAGGGAAAGCTCTGGATGTGGGAAGACGTCTATCAGGTCTTACAGGACCTAACTAACCTCCAGAGGGGTGAGATGCCATCAGCAGGGACTTTGCGAGAGAGGAGAGCCTGAGGGAAGCATTGCATGTGTGAGCGTGGGGGCTGTGAGCTGGTGTGACACGGATCATCATTATTGCTAGCGATGGTCCCTAATTCCTTGTCACGTCCAGCTGCCCGGGATGCCATCAGACTGAGATGAGAATCCTACCGGGTCCTTCTGCTCTGCTCAGAGCCTCCTAATGAGAAAGCAGCATGCTCACTGAGGAATAACAATGGGCAGTGATGTGATGAAGTCTAGATAGAAAAATCACGTGGGCTAGAATGAGGAAGGACTACAGGACGGCAAACCTAGATCACCACTAAGTCCCGCACAGAGCAGAGTCTTCTGTGGAGGTCCTCCATAGACACCCCCCACACACACACTTGACGTTGTCAGATCATTCCACTCACTATTTCTGGATGCATTAACAGGAAAACTCTACTGTGATCACCAGAAAAAAACATAACGTCAACGCTTAGTAATTAATCAATAAATACTTAGTGAATGAATGATTTAATGACATTGAAAATTGGGCTGGTGACTACCGTCCTGGGTGGCAGCTGTGGCATAGTTATTGCCCCATAGCTGGTTGTATTGCCACTTTGTGTATTGTACATTGTTGGTGCTACATGGCTGGGTTAAATGTGGGTTAATATTTTCAACAAGATTGCACAATAAGGGGATGGAGAGATGTCTCGGTGGATGAAAGCAATTGCTGCTTTTACAGAGGCCTTACATTTGGTTCCTCGCACCCACATGCTGGCTTCTAATCATCTGTAACTCCGTATCCAGGGAATCTGGTGCCCTCTTAAGGTTCCATGAACACCAGGTGTGCAAACAAATACTCATATACATAAAATAATACATAAATAAATCTTGGAAAAGATGACTCTATGTCTTGACATTGAAATGAAAAGTTACTGTTTTATGCAGAAGCACATAAGCAAAGGGGAGAGTATTTGCCAGGAACACCTGAGGACAGAGCTGAGATCCCCAGCACCCACATAGACGCCAGCCCGGTGTGATGGGACCATCTATACTCCTCGGACTTTGAAGGCAAGGATGGGATCCCCAGAGCAATTTGGCTGACTAAGCTAGCCAAACCACGGCCCTCTGAGTTGAAGTGAGAGATCTTGCCTCAATGGAGAAGATAGGAAGCAACTTAGGGGAGAACTAATTCTTTCTTTCTTTCTTTCTTTCTTACTTTCTTTCTTTTTATTTATTTGTTTATTTGTTTTTGTTTTTTCAAGACAGGGTTTCTCTGTGTAGTCCTAGCTGTCCTAGAACCCGCTCTGTAGACCAGGCTGGACTCAAACTCACAAAGATCCGCCTGCCTCTGCCTCCCAAGAGCTGGTAATAAAGGCCTGTGCCACTGCTAGAAAGGGCCAGTTCCCAATCTCTGGGTTCTCATACATACACATGCACCCTCCACGTAGTCATGCATGTGAACACTCACACACACGTGCAACCACACCACATGCACATTAAAAAAAAATCCCCCAAGCAACAAAACCTACATAAACAAGAAGAAGAATACAATTTGATAGGAGTGGTGAAAATATTTCTGTTGAAAAACTAGCCACAACCCAGAGCAGTAACTAAAGAAGGAATTCCAAAGTAAATGAGGAGATGATCTTTCGCTACTCAAATACCAACAAAACGACCCACTACCGCATGCCAAGTCATGCATTTGAAGACAGAAGAAAATGGCCAATTTCTCACCATAAACAAAAGAATTTCAAAGTAGCGAGAGCCTGGTGTGAACAAATTCATGTATTTTGCAGGGCTGCTATTAAAATGTGGAAAAACAATTTCTCAAAAAAAAAAAATCTAATTGGAAGCCGCTTCCTTTCCAGTGGCAAGTAATTGAATTGAGGAGAGAAAAGGAAGCTTTGAATTTCATTAGAGAGGAAATGCTGAGACAGCCTTGCTGTCTGTTGACATGCTTGTCAATGACAAGGGTGCTAAAACAACACGGGTCCCCAAATGAAGCGTTTCATTGTGATGGCATGAACGATGTCAGGCTAAATTGCCAATGTGCTTCATTTTCCACAGTGGAGTCACCCCGAGTGTGCCAGGCAGAATTTGTCCTCTTTGGCACCTTACCCCTTGTCATCATACCTCTATGGTGGATTGCAAGGGTGAGGAGGCTTTGCAGATGGAATAGAGGGTACGTTCAAGTGAGGAGGTTACGCTGGGCTCTCTAGATGAGCCACGAAGAGCAATGTTTTCAGCCAGGTTGGGACAGAAAAGAAGCCAGAGAGAAAGCAGAAGGAGAAGTCAAGGATTTAAAATGTGAACTGAAGGACCAGGAGCTGGCATGGTCATTGAAATGAGGACCAGGTACTTGGGACACTGAGGGAGCTGGAGGCCAGCATGGCCTTTGATATGCTGATGGGTTCCCAAGATGGTCATATGGCCCTTCTGCCAGAGGTAAAGGGAACGACTCCTTTTGGCAGGGGGGAACTGGCTGCACAAATTCCTGAGGAAGGTTGGCTTTTCTATAATAGCCTCAAATCTTCCTACAGTGTAGGTTGAGCTCATTTCTGGATATTTGGCCTGCCTGCGACCTAGCATTCAGGAAAGCATACAGCCTTGGCAACATCTTGATCATGGCCTTCTCTAAGAACCCAGACAGTGAGTTCAGCTGAAGTGGGAATACATACGTCTTAGCCTGAGACAATTTAGGGTTTCCTCCAGTTTTAATGTTGGAATTATAGCTCTGCTACTCTTTCCTCTGAAAGAAAAAAAGATTGTTTGCCACACGACTTTCTTGAGCTCCATTTCTCAGGTCAGAATATTAAAACCAGTGTTTCAACGTTTAGGGAAGTAGCTGAAATTCTTTGTTGCAATTTAGTTTTGCCAACAAATGACTCCTTCTAACAACTATTTTAATCCATCTTAATTAATTAATTATCTCTGTAACTCTCTCTTTTGGACCTCCAGACTCCATGGCCCAGATTCTGTCATTTTTACAGAGAAGTTGTCTTCCAGGATGTGTCTCTGATGACTCAAAGCTTCATGACAACCTTGCTAGTTCCTCCAAAGGTCTTTATAAAGACATTGGATATCTGGGTAACCATCCTTTGTTCTTGTCCAGCATGGATGGCAGAACCAAGAAAAAGCTTGCGGGAGACGTAACCCTAAGAAAACGAAAAGAGAGGGGCGAGGGTTTTGATTATCCCTGAGTATACTGTGATTACAGACTGTAATCATTTTGCACTTTATAACCAAAACGTCATTGGCCCACAGGGGAGAGTTGTTAGCACCCAGTCAGATTATGGCTATGCTCTGGGCCTGGAGGAGGAGACCACCAACTCTACAAGGCCAAGGTGACTCACTCAGTTGGACATTATCACGCCAAAGTATGCTTCAGGGAAGCAGAAATGGCTTTTGAGAATGTCACTAAATGTCTGTACTGTGAACTGTGATGGGACCAATGCCTTTGGGTACGCCTCAGAATATGACTTTCAGACTTTGAAAAATGTGGTCCCCAACAACAAAAATTTATCTAATTATCAGCTGGCTATTAAACTAACTGAAGAGAAATTCTAGCTGCTGTACGATGGAGACACTTTTCAAAATTAGTTTAGGGGAGTCACTTGACAACAAATAGCACCAAGAATAATAGCA